CAGAGTCACCCGAAACTCTAGAGGGTTGGACAACAACCTGAGACAAGTTAAACGCTTGAAAAGCCGCCATAACAGCTGTCCTAGCATGCGAGTCAACTAAAACATTAACATTAAAGCCGCCCACAACAACAATGTGGTCAACAGTAGGGTAAACATAGAACAGCGAATCACAAGATGCCTCAAGAAACTGATTTAAATCCACAGAGGGTGGTTTATAAAAAACACCAAGCGCAACTTTAACACCACGAAGAGTTAATCTCACCCATAACTGCTCAATTCCGTATAGATTTGTCAGGATTTATTTTTAGCTGGTGGTATGTTGGTAATTCAAAAATCGTATCAAGGTCACCGCTAATACCAGCCTCAGCAATACCACTGCCCGCTGTCGCGTATGAAGCGTAAAGCTGGGTATCATCCGCATATGTACTCATTTTACAGAATTTAATAAATTTATTAAATTGTGAAGTATAGATAGAAAATAAAATAGGTTCCAGCACAGATCCTTGGGGAACACCATTGCACAGTGCGAGTTCACCAGTCATGGCATCATCAACTTTCACCCTCTGTGTGCGATCACTACGATAGCTACTCAATATTGTTACTGCGCCTTCACTAAAACCTAGATAACGGAGTAGTTTGCTCAAAATGGTGTGGTTAACAGTGTCAAATGCTTTTGAATAGTTTAAAAAAACCACAGCAGTACTCTCTCCCACATCAACAGCGGACAATATATCATCAGTTAGATTTAACATTGATGTTGTGCAACTATACCCACATCGAAAACCCGATTGTTCTGAAAGGAGCAAACTATTGGTCTCCATATACTCCACCAATTGAGCCTTCATAACCTTCTCTAAAACTTTAGAAAGAACAGGGAGAATACTTATTGGTCGCAAGTCACTATACTCTCGCGGGTTATCCTTTTTGAGCAGAGGAATAACCTCTGCGCGTTTCCATTCCAAGGGAAAGACATGTTCAACTAAACAACAATTCAGTATGTGGGTCAAATATGGCAAAATGGTGGGGCGATCTCACATTTAAGTGTTCAATATGAAAAGCAATCATTCTATTAAGAAACAATCATAAAATAATATTTAAAAGAAAATATACTTATATACCATAAAATAACAAAACCATGCATAACAGTTATATGGTCAACATAATACAAATAAATACAATAAACCAATAAAAAAATTTAAACAGAAAATACTCCAAATGAGAAAGTTCACTTTAAACTACACCCAAAAAACTCAATTAATTTTATTAATCAATCTAATTCGCAAGGTACGTATTTTAATCACTACAATACTTAATGATTAGCAAAGTTATCATAAAATGAAACTACAAAACCAGTACTTAAAAAAGAAAATTAAAAATTACATGCAATACAACAAAAAGGAACATATAATAGGAAAGTATAAAACAATTTAATTATAAACGATAAGCATATTCACCGCCAACGACGATAACTTAGGCAAAATAATAACCAATGTTTCATCAAAAAAACAATTTAGGATACAACAACGCATGGCACTAACGTTATCTGCATTTGAAACAGGTTTATGATGCGGAGATAACAATTTTGAAACGCAGTTACTTTGAACACCGTATAGAGACAGCAATTGGAGTGAAGTTAGCAACGACTTTTCAGCGACGGATTGTGTCCACCACGGTCGCAAATCAGTCGCTAAGATTAAAACGCACAGTGAAGCGGATTAAACATAGAAAATATGATCATGTTGTGTTAAATGAATGTTACGAAGGTAAATTGGGTAAAATAATGCTAATAAAATAGGTTAAAAACGTCTCGGCTTTAAAAAGAAATAAAACCATCCCCTTAATTAGCCGTGAGTTGCAGGGTTGAAATTTGGTGTGAATATAGCTTCAACATCCCTACTTAAGTTGATTTTCTTTAAAATTAGAGAGCTACACATGAAGGTGTGTCAACCCCTAATAAAAATAGGTGAAATTCGCTATGTTAGGTGCAAAAAAGAATAAAATCCACCCATTAGCCGTGAGTTGCTGAGTTCAAATTTAGTGTGGATATAGCTTCAACATCCCTAAGTTGATTTTCTTTAAAATTAGAGAGCTACACATGAAGGGGTGTCAACCCCTAATAAAAATAGGTGAAATTCGCTATGTTAGGTGCAAAAAAGAATAAAATCCACCCATTAGCCGTGAGTTGCTGAGTTCAAATTTAGTGTGGATATAGCTTCAACATCCCTAAGTTGATTTTCTTTAAAATTAGAGAGCTACACATGAAGGGGTGTCAACCCCTAATAAAAATAGGTGAAATTCGCTGTGTTATATGGACAAAAAACATAATGTATAAAACACATGAATGAAATAACAATAGACGAGAAGCCAACAAATATTTCAAAAAACTTTTAAAAATTGCAAGATTTAATGAAGATGAATGGAGAATGACAATACCAGATCATTATCACCAAAGCATTGGTTATGAGTTATGACTATGGGGCATTCATAATCTATTACTTTAATCAAATCGTCAAAGAAAAGTCATGTATTGAAAAAATAGATTTTAAAAATTATAGATGTTCTCTTCAGGAAACAATTTTACAATATTCTGTGGACATGAACAAATATTGTTTTCTTTTTTGTGGGCAAAACAACGAATACAGTAACTCCATCTGTTATAGTTGTAATAGATTGAATATGCCTAGGGCGTCGAAGATTTTTACAAAAGCGACCAAACTTGTTATCTTTGTGTAAAATTTATCAACAAACACAAACAAAATTCTGCATAATCTACCAACTTTTAGAAGGTATAATAAAAAATTAATTATAATTAAATTATAATTAAAGGTATAATTTCTTAGTCTTTATTTTTTTTACCTTTCATATTTCAGTGATAACAGTACAAACACAATTTGTAAATGGGTGGTACCACAACACTAGTGTGCCATGGAAAACAAATGTTTAATGACTTATTAACAAACGTCAAAGTCTGATTTACGTTGTTTGATGCTTGTAAGTCTAAAACCAGTTAAAATGGATATTAATAACGAAAATAATGTTTATACAAATGAAGAAATCCATAATTTATTTTTTGTGCACGAAAAGTGCTACAAAGTTCTTAGTAGAACTTGCAGAATGTTTAATGAAAATTATCCACATTTATCTCCGATGACAAAAGGTAAATTTAGAAGAATAGAAGCAAATTTTTTGCATTTTGGACGAATTAATCACGTGTTAAACAAAGGTGGAGGGTGAATACAAGGCGGTGAATACCTTGGCTTATTTCGAGCCCAGTCCCAACATCTCAATTCGAGCTGCCAAAGAAGATCTGGGAATCATACTACGAACTTTGTCGCGCTTTTCATGCATAAAAAAATATGTAAATTAAGAATTTCTTGATTTGTGTAAATATAATATATATTATATTTTTTTTCCATATAACATAGCGAATTTAATTTATTTTTATTTAGGTTGCCACCCCTTCATGTGTAGCACTCTAATTTTAACGAAAATCAACTTAGGGATGTCGAAGCTATATTCACACCAAATTTCAACTCAGCAACTCACGGCTAAGGGGTGGATTTTATTTTTTTTTACCTAACATAGCGAATTTCAACTATTTTTAGTAGGGGTTGGTACCCCTTCAAGTGTAGCACTCTAATTTTAAAGAAAATCAACTTAGGGATGTCGAAGCTATATCCACACCAAATTTCAACTCAGCAACTCACGGCTAATGGGTGGATTTTATTTTTTTTACCTAACATAGCGAATTTCAACTATTTTTAGTAGGGGTTGGCACCCCTTCAAGTGTAGCACTCTAATTTTAACCAAAATCAACTTGGGGATGTCGAAGGTATATCCACACCAAATTTCAACTCAGCAACTCACGGCTAAGGGGTGGATTTTTTTTTTTTTTAACCGAGACGTTTTTACCCTATTTTATTAGCAGTTTCAAAATTTATTCTGGAACTCTGGGATATACAGCACGTAGTGACCTTCGTAACATTCATTTAACACAACATGATCATATTTTCTATGTTCAATTCGCTTCACTGTGCGTTTTAATCTTANTTTAAACCGAGACGTTTTTACCCTATTTTATTAGCAGTTTCAAAATTTATTCTGGAACTCTGGGATATACAGCACGTAGTGACCTTCGTAACATTCATTTAACACAACATGATCATATTTTCTATGTTCAATTCGCTTCACTGTGCGTTTTAATCTTATTGTTAAGCCTAGATCACACGTAACGAGTACAGTGGCGAGACAGTGTACTCGGCCGAGTCCTCGGTTGGTATAAACATATTACCGAGTGCTCGGCTGAGCGCTCGACCTAGTACCAGGGCGAGACAGTCACTCGAACCCTATTCTATTTACTGGACCGAGTGCCACGCTACTCTCTCGGCCTAGTGTCATTTTACTGTCTCGCCACTGTACTCGTTACGTGTGACCTAGGCTTTAACGACGGATTTGCGACCGTGGTGGAATTGACAAAATCCGTCGCTAACTTCACTCCAATGAGACAGCAAGCAATAAAAATAGAAAAATATGTAATATCGACCAACGATCAAGCTTCTTCTTTTTTGGTTTCGGCTCTTCTTGTCTGAACCTTTCCATTGAAATCCACCCTAAGAACTCGTACTCCAACTCTTGATCGACTCAATCCTCTTCTCAAACTCGAACTCTTCTTTGTTTCTCTCACTAAAACGCCAGAACCAAAAACTTTTCTCTGAATTCTGTCTCGGATTCCAAGACTCTGTTCTTCAGCGGTCCATCGCTACTCTCAAACTGCCTCTAAACAGTCTTAGTCTTCATAACTGACTGACTATGACTAACTGACTTACTGACATCAGTTCTTTTTCCAGTCTCAAATTTTAAACCCTTTCGTTGACCTTTTTCCAAATAATAGAGCGAGAATGAATCAATAAATTTTAACCGCGGTTCGCTACAATATCTCAATTAGTTCTTAAGAAACAATCTTAAAACATTTTAATTAGAAGGTGTTTATTCCATCGTAGAACTGAAGAATGGGCCAACCAAATCAGCAAGCAGTTAACAAGTCTTAGCGAAATATTAACCAAACGAGACCTGGCAATTAAAGTAAAAAAACATGATAATTCTTTCAACATTATTATAAATCACAATTTTGTTTTTTAGAGTTTCAGAAATACCTCTGTTGTAGAACAAAACGGAACCCTCTTAGCCGAACAAATTTCGCACGGAATTTGGAACATGATGCGTAGCAAGGAAGCCGCTATTAGTGTACTAATAAAAAACAATACTTTTTTTAATTTTTTTAACAAATTTTTCTTTTCGTTTTTTTTTAAATAGAGAGTGAAAACATATGCTGAATATCTAGGCTTAAATCGTGACAAATTAACATCGCCAATGGAAAAATACGAGTTTTACGACTCTACAACTTTGCAAGAAATCATAACACCAGACGAAAAATACGGTGAACCGGAAGATATAGATAATTGCAATGATTTAATTAATCTATTAGATAACCTTTCCAATCCGAAGCTTTCCAACAAAGAACGGAAATTTTACGAACAAAATTTAGTCAAACACGTTCTTTATTATAACAAACCCATAAACTATACACACATTTTGGATTTGGATTACGATCCCCATTTCGACGAGAACGTAAACGTTACTTTTAGTGTAATCAGAACCGTAACGAACGTTTATGGTCGCGAGAAACGCGCGTTAAACAATATCCGTTGGTCGGAAGCGTTAGATTCGATTTTTCGTTGTAATTACAAAAACGATCGTTCATTAACCTGGCAATATTTCGCTAGTTCAGCCGGGTTTATGCGTTTATACCCCGGCATAAAATGGTCCGACGAAGAATACGATGTCTCTTTCGATTGGAGAATGAGATCTTGGTTTACCGAGGCGATGGCATCACCTAAAGATATGATTATTCTAATGGATAGTTCCGGTTCGATGAGAGGCGAACGAAGAATCATCGCTAACATTATTTTGCACGATATTTTAGATTCTCTTTCAGATAACGATTACGTGAATGTTTACACATTTAATAACTCGACAATGCCTTTGGTGCATTGTTTCAATGATACGTTAGTGCAGGCTAACGAAGAAAATTTAAGATTGATTCGCGAAAGTATCCCTAATTATATTGCGAGATTTCCTGGTAATTTAGAGATAGGATTTGAAAAGGCGTTCGAATTGTTGAAAATGGATGGAAAACGGGATTTATTAGGTGATAAGGTTAAATGCAATAAGGCGATTATGGTTATTACCGAAGGTTTGGATTATTATGATGAATCGTCACATGAAAAATTAGCTAAATTGAATACGCCGGATGAGTTGGGATGTAAAATAAGGATTTTTACATTTCAATTAGGTATGGAAATACTTAATTAATGTTAGATTTGATAAAAGTTTTATTTGTGAGTTTTTAATTAGGTACGGATGAATCTGACGCTCAAACAATGCAAAAAATCGCTTGTGATAACTTGGGTTATTACGTAAATGTAAGCAAAGTGGAAGAAGTTCGCGAAAAAGTGGTAAAATATATAACGGTGATGTCGCGTTCGATTAATTTCAATAAAACATTAAATCAACCAATTTGGAGTGCTTTGTATGTCGATTTAACTGATAGAAGATTAACAAATTGGTTGTGGAGTAAGGAACAAGGTTTAAAACAGCGTGAGGTGTTTATAACTCAAGGAAATGCTACTAGGGATACAAATGTATTATTATTTTTGAAATATTTTTATATGTTCACAAAACTATTTGTAGGTATACGCACCTTATGCTATTCCCAGGAATTATTCTTACTTAACAACGGTCTCTTTACCTGTGTATGATAAAAGAAAAAATATGGTAACTCTTAAAGCAGTTTATGTTTTATCCAAAAAAAAATAATAATTTGGATTTTAGGCTACTTTATTGGGTGTAGCAGCTGTTGACGTACCTACAACTTATCTAAGAAAATTAACCAAGGAATATTTGGTAATAAAAATAACAAACATTCGTCTTCAGCACACTAATACTTTTTTTAGCTTGGAGTTAACGGTTACGCATTTATCATTACTAACAATGGATACGTTTTAATGCATCCAGATCATAGAACGAAGGTAATTTACATTTTTCTTTCAAATGTTTTTCAAATTAACACTTGATATCATTTCAGTTTAAGAAAATTCTTAAACCAACCTTTAATAGAGTCGATTTAACAGAAGTCGAACTTTCACCTCATACAAAAAGTGATCGGAATTTTGACGACAGAATCATAAAAGTAAGTAGGAATAATAAGTAAGCATTAAGGCATATAGGGGAGACAGAACGTTTGAGACTCATAAGAGTAATATGAAGAGTAATCATAGGAGTCTTTTAAATCCGTGATCATTTGCGACCGAAGCGCAACGTTTAAAATTTTGAATGATACAATGTCAAAGACAGAACGTCACGACCGTAATTCTTTACACTCTCAGTTGCTAAATATAGAACATTGCGATCTTTTCATACTAATAATTGTATTCTAAGAAAGTAATAATATTTTTTGATGATAAGAGTTTGAAGCCGAAGGTCACTTGCAGCCGATACGCTACGTTTAAGACTTTTAATGATACAATGCCTCGGCCGCAGACGCCTTTGGCTTTAAACTCTCAACTGGTAAATATAGAACATTGCAATTATGTCATACAAATAATTGTTATATTCTAAAATGAATTCGCACACATTTTTGAGTAAATTTTCTGCTGTGGTCAAATAAAATTAATCTTAAAATAAAAATGACTATCTATAGGATAATCGTGGAGCTTATTGACATACGGGGCAGAGTGTTAACAGTTATATAGAACAAAAATATAGATCTGCGGTCATGAGTGAAAAACAAAAAAACACTGTTGATGTCATTATCAATGCCAGCAATAAACGAAAGGCTATATGGCAGATGATAAATAAAGAACTAAAACGGAAGAAGGAAATCAATATTGATAACCTTTCCAACCTGGATGCTCAGTATTTCAAAAAATATCCCTGGACCAAATTTAAATCCCAGTATGCTTGTCTCCAAAATATTGATCAGAAATCAACAATCTTTTTTTCTAAAGCCTACTACCGAACAAGAGATCCAACAGCCGCCACAGAGGAGTATTTGTACCGAAAATTCGCGTTTAATTACACCATTGGTCTAGCACATCTGGTTTCATAATATTTGGTTTTGTTATACACTGTTGAAAATAATTCACAAGCACACCCTGTATAATCTGAACGCGTGTGTCTAGCGCAATAAAATTTGGTATGGAAGTAGTACTAAAGTAGTGTAACTTACTCTCACATGGAGAGCGGCACAACTCTGCTGGGAGGAGAAACATCAATAACGAGAGTATCCACCGTGAACTTCGCGTACCATCGCTACACGATGTGGCATGGAGTCTATAAGTCGCTGTATTGTAGCGAGAGGGATGGCCAACCATGCTACCTCAACTCGCCTCCATAGCTTCTCAACATTAGCCGAGGAAGCCGGATAACGTAGAAGTCTCCGACCAGTCATATCCCAAACATGTTCAATCGGATTCAGATGCGGAAACCGAGCTAGCCATGGAAGCATTCGTATACGGTGCTCTTCCACAAAGGTCTGTACAACACGCCCGATCTGCTGTTGTACGTTGTCGTGCATGTATAGCAGACCTGGGAGCCGCCGAACGTAGGGAAGCACAACGGACCGTAGCACCTCATCTACGTATCATTGACCCGTCATGGTCTGCTATACACGCAGCAGACGTGTACGTCCGCCATATGTAATCGCACCCCATACCATAATGCTCGGTTGTCGGTGGATAGGGAGTTCTTGCACACATTGCTCGAGTAGACGATCACCATGGCTCCGACGAACTAAAATTCACGCATCACCAGTACTCAATTCGAATCTTAATTCATCGGAAAACAAAATCTCTACTCAGCAACCTACTAATGCCTAGCGTCGACCCACTTGTGACGTATGCTGCGGTGCTCGGGTGTTACTGGAATCCGCTCTATCGCACGACGCGCGCGCAGTCCACTATCTACCAAACGTCGCCGTACAGTTCGCGTAGTGAGTGCGCCTTCCCCCTTCTCCTCGCTCAAACTCGCTTAAGTAACGCGATCGCCCATCCATTGCGCACATAGTACGATAACAATGTGGTTCCTCACACCACACTAAAAACGACCGGTATTCTCCATCCACTTCGGTCTCCATAGCGACGGAATGTTCCACTTGGAAGAGCGGCTCAGTCAACAATGCCTCGACGGAACAACTCGAAACTCCCTGAATAAACTCGCCTACAGTAAACCTTTGTGCTCCGCAAATATTATGGATTTATCTTCACGCGTTCAAATTATATAGGGTGTGCTCGTGAATTATTTCCAACAGTGTATTACATATAGCATATGTAGTGTAGTTTTAAATTTCTACCCACACCCCCCTTTGAGGGGTGGAGTAACTTATAAAAATGCAAAAACTTACAAAAAAAGTAACACATTATCTATTAATCAGTGATAAAAAGTAAATATTTTGTATTATAAGTTTAGTGGAGGTATATTTACAAATCTTTTCACTTAAATACTTTTGAATTAAAGAATTAGATTAAATATTTAAAAACCAATACGTTTATTGTCTTTTTTTGTAATGTAGATGTCAAATAATTTTTAAAGAATTTATTTAATGAAAAAAAAAAAAGTTTAATTAATGATATAACTCAATCTTTATCTTAGTTCGCTCCATCTTTGCTCGATTCATTTTCGCTCGATTCATCTTCGCTCGCTTCATCTGACTGATATCCTTCTAGGGGAAGTAACATTTTTAACGTTTGCATTAAAAAAGGTTCAGTCCGTTTTCGTGGAATTAGTCTCAGAGAAGATATTAGTGGATCCGATGTTAACAGTAGGCGATGGAGTACGTCTTCATTGCAAACCTGTCGTGAAAATTTCCTAACGTAATTTTTCCGATATAATCGGAAATGTTTATTACGGGCTTCAGCGGCCACTTCTGACAGTTGTCCTATTGGTAACAGCGCTTGTTCTATAACTTGTGGACCATATAAAAGAATTTTATGCACTGTTGGAGTCATCGGATACCACCCATATAAGTCGACGTACATTTGTGCCGTCTCGAATGCAAATTCTTGGAATTTGGGTACATTAATTTTATGTCCGCTGGATATCACCTCTAAAATTATTTTGAACCGTAGGATAAGGTCTTTACTGACACCTGTGATTTCTGCAGATTTTTCGTGATCTTTAAAGAACCGCCTGCTTGTGTTCCCACCATTACTATTTCCACTTCCTTGTGTGGGTACGTCGACAATAAGGTCTATCTGTTCCCTAAAGATTTCCTATAGATTTTTTTTCTTTCGTTCACCATGCTCTTTTCTTCTTTAGTTCGAGCTTGCCATTTCTTTAATGGCAGTTTATATGACAGGTGTAGTATAATTTCAAAAAATCGAATACGTGCATGTGTACTGATAGGCCGAACTTTAATGACTCCGATCGTATTGGATTCTTCTGTGAAAGGTTGTTAAAATCCTTGGATGTTGCTCCACATATATAACAAGGCATGGATGATGTATGTGTTACAGCATTACAAACTTTTGCATCGATCATTGTAAGCACCAAACGATGTTTTATTATTACTTTGCTTCCACTTTATGTATAAAATTCTGTATTTTGCAAACAATTTATTTGGCTCTCAATATAATTGATTTTTTCATTTGTAATGTCAGGTGTTTCTTTTACGAACCTGACTCTTATTGGCCTACACTACCTAGGTGATGAATGCGTAGTATTGAGCCACACTAATTTATTTCCATTGCATACCATCTGTAAAGGTACCACAGAGCATTGAAAGACGTTGGCATCAGAATTTGTAACAGATGCATGTTATTGTTTGTACTGTGCTTGTTTGGATCCAATAAAAATGTTATTTTGAAACATCGACTTTTGAGCGGGTTTTCGGTACAAATATTCTTCTGTGAGACGGTTCTTTTCTTACCAAATAAGAAAACCACTGATATTTACAACGTCTCTACCTACATTCTTAAGAAGGTTATCGAGGTGTTGGTCGTACCCATTGCTAATTTAGTAAATTGCTGCATTACAACCGGCATATTCGCTGGCGAACTTAAAGCTCGTCAGCTAATGTGGTTCCTGTTTTTAAAAAGGTATGCCTGTTTTCAAAGGCATACGATTGTGTCGAACATGAGACTCTATTAAGTAAACTGGAACATTACGGTATAATAGAACTGCCAAATCACATGATACGTAATTATCTAAGCAATAGAATACAGTGCGTGCAATAGAAGGGTCGAACTTCAAAAATTACCAATATTACTTCTGGTGTCCCACAAGGATCAATTCTGGGTCCAGTGCTTTTCATTATTTATACAGTGTGTCCCCGGATTGTGTCCCCATAAGGTATAATTGACGATAAATTTTTGAATTCAAATTCCATCTTTTGCAATTAAAGTCTGGATGTCATAAAACGAAATATAACCAAGTTTTACGTCAAATGTCCCCAAAGTACCAAAGTTAACGCAAGAAGTTTGTTAACCGTTGCAGGTAAAGTGGTCTTTCTGAGCAATGTACAGCAAAAGTTGATTAAGATAAAATGTTTGTTATGTTAAATTATAGCGATATGCAGAATTTTATTAATAATAAAACTTAGCAATATTTCGTTTTATGACATCCAGACTTTAATTGCAAAAGATGTAATTTGAATTCAAAAATTTATTGTCAATTATACCTTACGGGGACACAATCCGGGGACACACTGTATAAATGACTGCTGATGACACGTCTTTCATGATAATAATATGATAATAATACATATGATATAAACTTACAATAGATATGATGACTAAGATAACAAAACAGTCGTATGAATCAAAAATAGTAAATTACGATGCCTTAAAGCAAAATAAAGAATTTTATCCATGTTGCAAGTTGGGAATATATTAAAAATATACTAAAAAATATACTAGAAAAAACTTCTTTAACTTGCTTTTATTTAAATATATATCGAGACTAGTTTCGAGGTTACACCCTCATCTTCAGTCGAAACTAGCAAAAACGAAAAAACGAAAAACTTGAAAATTTTGACTGTACGTTTTTTAAACTGTTTTATTTTAATATTTTAATGTGTTTTTCGTTTTTGTTCGTTTCGACTGAAGATGAGGGTGTAACCTCGAAACTAGTCTCGATATACAATGTGTCCCCGGATTGTGTCCCCGTAAGGTATAATTGACGATAAATTTTTGA